TCTCCTGGCCTAGCAGAGTGCATGTCATCTGCACACTGTTGCTGGTCAGGAGGGAGCTCAGGTCTGTGCCCATATGCCCTGGAGCCAGACTCAGGGTTATCCTTTCATTGGGTGCAGGGTTCCTACAGGAGGTAGGGGTGCACCATAGGGCCTGCCTCAGAGCCTCCTGGAGGCTGAGGTGTGAGATACTGGCACCTCCCTGATGTTTATGGGGGATGGTGCTTTCGTCCATGGGAAATAAACCAGCAGAGAGCTTACCATGCAATGCTAGTGTAGTTTCTTTTTCTTTTTCTTTTTTCCAGTGTATTTTCTAATCCAGTTTTGGCAAAAATGGTATTAAGATTCAGTTGTAACTAAACATGGAAATTTGTATGTGAATATATTCACTTATTGAGATTGGAATTTATAGACTTACACACTGAAGAATATCATTTTGGACCATCATCTCACACAATTAATAAACTATTAGTTAAATTAGTAACGTAATAAAATGGAAGACTTGTGTGTTCTGTGGAGAAATTAACATTAGTTGTTTCACATGCATAGGTGAGTATTGGTGCTATGTGTGTGTGTGTATCTCTGTGTGTGCACCTGGCTGGAGATTTTCAGAAATTCTTGGATCTGTGATTGACACATCTATCATGGTGAAGAACCCTACTGATCATTGTGATATTAATTTTTCTTACCTGGCAGGTTTGATTTTGTGATTCTAGTTAAACCTGTTCTCTCCAAGGTGATGTTCTGTTCCTTCTCTTTGCATTGTATGTTTGTAATTCTTCAGACCTATTTGCAAGGTCATGGGTTCTTTTGTAAGGTGAAACCACTGTGCTTATGATCCTATGAAAGGCTTGATTATTTTGTACTCTAATATTTTTTATTACTTTGAGCATTTCTTTTGAATATTTCTTAGTATTTCATATCCCTGCTAAGATGACCTATCTGGTCCTGCATTCTTACTATGTTTGCTTTTATATACGTGTATTTTAAGATACTATGTATAGTAACTTTACAATTCCTGTTTAATCACACAGTTCTACCACCTGTGTAGTTCAGGAACTCATTTTGATCATTTTCATTGTGCCTTTTTACATGAGTCTTGACTGACACATGTCGCTACACATTGTAAGTGTCATTGCTGGGTACTAATCTGTAGCATTCTGAACCCCAATTGATTCAGCCGCTTTTGGATGAGTGTTTAGCATTTGTTCTGTTTAAGGTTACATTCTGTTTGATACTGGCTGGATCAGGCCTACTCCATGGTTCAGAGGTCAGCTCTCTCTGAGAGCCCACTGAGGGGTGTGGACAACAGTGCAGACTGAAGCTGATGGCATGGTAATTAAGGTTAAGACTGTTCTGGGTCACCTCAAAGGCTATTGAACCTGTTCACAGGCTAGAGGGTCTGCTACATCTATTTGAAGTTGGCAGCTAAGCTCTGATTGGTACATTGGTAGGACATGCCCTCTGCCCCTGGTCAAAGCAATCA